TACCGGATACTGCTTTACTGTAGTCTTTCTGCATCTACCCAAATTGGCATTTGACACATATATTTGTCTTCGTAGAGAGATTATATGTGTTGCAGATCTTCTTGTAGTGACTTGTAGGAGTTCGTACATACTTATATCTATTGCATATTAGTCACTTTTATTTGAGAGGACCAATGTATTTCACTTGACATTGAGTTGCTATTTACCACACAAATATTATTGTGTTTGTTGCTTTTGAATGAGATATAGAGAACTCATTCAACATCGATCATTATTTGTAGTTGCTATTGACATGCCCGTTGCTTTGCTCATAACGATGCACTTTATCGTTTCGTTATATTTAACAAGTCTTTTGTTTGCTCACTAATGCTTGTGTCTCAATTGGTATGGTGACCTCTTAATATTGAATGAAAACTTTGTATCATTTATTTTCGGCACGTCATTACATCTCCATTTGATATTTGTTTAGGAATGTATCATGTCCACCTTTGCAAATGGATTATCATGATCCAAAGGATTCTCTCACACTATAGCTTTATGATTAAGCCATATTCCACATGATCTTTGTTATTTAGAAGTCAAATTATGCTTGCAAAATGGATTGTAAGTAGTTGTCACCCAACTTGGGATCAAGTTCAAGTACAAAAAATTCAAGTCAAAGTTCAAATAAAGTTCAGGCTCAAAATGAGCCTCTTCCTTCTTTGAGTCCCCGGTTGTCCAAGTAAGTTCAAGCTTGAGTTAAGTTCAAGTTCATGTTCAGCTGAGTCATGTCCAATACATTTAGTTCACTTGAATCTGAGTTCTGCATTTATTTCATTTGATTCAAATTTTCATGAGTTATGGGTAGGTTTAATCAAGCTCGCATCTTTTGTAGTTCATGTTGCAATTAAGTCAAGTCTTTGTTGTTCCAAATTAAATTTGAATCAATCTTTATCTTCAAAGTTTGCACTTAGTCTATTTGATTTATTCATATCAAGTCAATAAAGTCCCTTGTATTTGTCCAGTCCTTGTTTTTTCAGACAAAATTTCGGGCAGCCTCCCGGCGTTCCCCCGTTTAGGGGAAAACCCAAGAGCCGCCTACCGCCAGCCACCAAAGGTGGCACGGTTGGTGTTTGTGAGACACGCGGCGGTTGTATTTATTTTTTTTCTCCTCACACGCGCACAAAGGGTGCTTTGGAGTTTTTTTTTAAAAAGCATTTTTGAAAAAGCAGTTTGATTTCCCCGGCTGGGGGTACTTATGAGCGATTCCGCCTCGTCGTAGGTGCCGCACCCGGGTCCCATCCCACCACGCGCACAAAGGCGTGCTTGGGCGGGTTTCCGGTTCGCCACGAACATTGAAGTAGGGTTTTAGGTGATTACCCGCCTCGTCGTAAGGCGCCGCACCGGGGTCCCATCCACCACGCGCACCAAAGGCGTGCTGGGGCGGTTTTCCGGTCCGCCGCCACTCCGAGGAGAGAATCTGAGTTTAGAAAATTCGTACTTCGCGGGGTTGGTGGAGTCGTCGAGATGCACAAAATAAACAAATTTTCCTTCTTTTTCTCTTTCTTTTTTTTTCTTCTTTTTTCTTTTTTTTTTTCTTTTTTTTTAAACAATATATATATATATATTATAATATATATATATATATATATATATATTATATATATATATATATATATATATATATATATATATATATATATATATTACATATAATAATTTTAATATATTATTTAGTAGTAATAATCAGCAATAAGAATGTTAACTATATTAATAACAGCAAATACTAATAAGAAATGAAACTTTCTTTTGGATTTTATGAAGGAAAGATGGCTTTGCTATTACAGATTTTTTTAAACAAGGAAATAGGCTCTTAGTGGACTGTTTTGGACTTGAAATGTAGTGCTTCTCTTGATTATTTCATCTAAGTGTAAGAGAATGTAAATGGGCCTTAAATAAAATTAATGGAAGTTGGGCCATGAAGAATGGAGTGATCAGGAAAAAGCAATATCAAATAGATGATGGGCTCTTAGGTTTAAGTGGACATGGCAGATTCTAGACACTAGCAATGTATTCAACGAAATAATGCAACCCATTAATGTACAATAACAAGAAAATAGTTATAGAGAGCTATAAGATTTCTTAGTTTGCACAAGAATCAATAAGCACCTTGCAACATCAGAAATAATAAAGTAAACACTCACAAAAGCTGCCTTTTTTTTGGTGGGCAGAGGCACAAGACTTCTCTCTTTTTTTTTTTACCTCTTTCCTTTTTTTTGAATGAAGACAAGTTAGCACAAGAGAAGTACAGGAATCTCAAAACAAGTTTCACGTAAAAGGAGCTAAGGATTACTCGGCTATTTTAAAGGAACTTGTCTTAGCTGCTAGTGGAGCTCTCGGGTAAGGTGGGAAGGCTGCTAGTCTTAGAAGAAGAGGCAAGTGAAGGGTGCAGATCTAGCTCTCAGTCGTTGGAGTGGGATCAGAAGATTAGTGCAGCAATTTTGTTTTAGCAGCAAACTGGGACGGACAAGGTTGAGCAAGATCGGGAGGTGGGGAGGAGTCACGTGGAAGGAGCTCTATAGTGAGAGGGCTGCTGGTCTTTAAACTCGAATGGCTGAAATGGCTTGGTGTTTGGCTGAGGGAAGAAGGTCGGTTGGTAATGTGAGGTGGATTTGGAGCTGTGGTCTTCAGCCTGGGCGTGAGGAGGCAAAGACGGACAAGGGAGGAGCTGGGTGATTTCTTGTATGCCAATGTAACAGAGAACTCAAAGTCCTCATCTCTATTCCTTTTAACGAAGAGTTGTTGTATTCAGACGAGGAAACGTCTGCCTAAGGTTTTACATCAGCGGGAATTACGGGATTCAGCAGGATTTATGGGAATTGATCGGAGATCTCAGAGCAGGATATCTGAGGTCTAAGGTTTGCATTAAATGAGATATGAAACTTTTTCTTTGAATTTTGTTATGATTCTATTTCTTTTAAATTAATATTAGCATTAGTGCTAATATATTATTATTAATTTGAAATTATAATGTGTGCTGAATTCAAAAAGAAATGTCTTAATTTGCATGTCGAATTCGTCGAAGATGAAAATCAAATAAATGGATAGTTCATTTTAGGGTATTGACGATGTCCCGGTCGCAACAACATAGTCCGTTTTGCGATCGGACATGGTTTGGGTGGCGACGAGGTTTAATTCCCTCGCAATGCTCGTTGTCTAGATTTGGGCGCAAAACCTTATTCAAACAAATTGGCAACGCATTCATAGTATTGGCGGTGTTCTGGATCCAATGGCGCAGTCCGTTTCACGATCGGACATCGTCCAAACATCGTCGAGGCCTGATCTTTATCGAAATGTGTATTGTCGTATTTGAATCATCTCGGAATTTGTGCCACCACCTCGAACAATCCAAATTGATAAAAAAAAATATTTTCTTAATGTTGACGACGTTCCGGACATAATGGCACTGTCCGTTTTGCGATCAGACGTCATTTCGTCACCGACGAGACTAATTTCCCTCGTAACACGTGCCTTTACATTATATTTGTATTGCCTTTAAAATTTGCGACACCACATCAAACGATCCAATTTGATTAAATAAAATGTAGACTCTGAATGTCGATGATGTTCCGGACGCAATGGCGCTGTCCGTTTGTCAATTGGACGTCATTCAAGTATCGTCGAGGCTTCATTTCCGTCGCAACGCAGGCCTTAATATCATATTTGCATCACCTAAAAATCCACCACCATCTCAGATGATCTAAATTTATCAAATAAAATATATTTTCTGAATGTTAACGACGTTCCGGACGCAATGTCTCTGTCCTCTTGTCGATCGGACGTCGCCCGAGCATCTTCGAGGCCTTGTTTCCGTCGTAACGCAGGCTTTTATATCATATTTGCATCAACTGGGGATCCATGTCACCATTACGATTGATCCCAATTATTCACACAAGATGTATATTTTGAATGTCGAGGACGTTCCGAATGCAATGACATAGTCCGTTTCATGATCGAACATCATCTAAGCGACGTCGAGGCCTGATTTCCTCGAAATACGCGTTGTCTAAAAATTCATGTCACTCATTAGGATGATCTAAATTGAACAAATAAAATACAGTTTTTTAGTATTTGCAATATTCTGAACACAATGACGAAGTCCTTTTGTTGATCTGGCATCTTTTGATCAGCCTCGCGCTTTAATTTCAGATGTCGGTCGTCTCTTTTGACCAATCTCATTCGATTCAATTACGAGGGGCCCCGACCTAGCAGAATTCAGTGGTCCTGATCACAAAGATATCATCCGTTTGTCATTTGACCCCTTAAGTGACGTGTTTCATCAATGAACATATTGCTTTATTTACAAGTTTGAGTCCTTTCTGGCGTGGTCTGATGTATAGGGGTCAACTATATTTCTAAAATTTTCTTTTTTTAGTGCATGGGTATATCATTTCTCTAGCCAGTATCATATGAGTTTGAATTCTTGTTTTACGTTTTCCTTTTAGTACATTCCTTTCAATATCATATTTTATTTTTCCTACTTAAATTGGCATTTTGAATTTTAATATGATGTTACCACATTTAATGTATATTATATTCTAATTAAGGTCATTTGATTCTTCATTTTAATGTAAAGCAGCGAAACTAAGATTAGCAAGTATACATAAAAATATGTCATGCATGCAAGTGTAATGAATCAAAATAAAAAATATAATTCCTTTAAATAAAAATATGATCACCTACCTCACGTATTTTTTGAAGTCAAATCTCCAATTTTAATGTTCTGTTAAATTATTAATCATCCTTGTGCACAATCTAATTATTGTGTACATGATTAAGTCAATCTACTTGGCTCGTTTGCTTCTTCAATTAGGAAAATACAGTTTCTGAACCAATCCAGCCTGCCATTACAAATACAACTAAAACTGAAAATTAACAGACTAATTCATTAATATGGAAAACAGTTATGTAACTTTTCAGCAGTTTGCTACCTTATGTTAATAAAGACCAATACTTCTAATATGACTCTTTACACATTTTACCTTTTTTGTATATTTAATTTGTCAGTTAACTTTGGACTGGTTATATTGTCCATTATGATAACAAATAATAGTGCATCTTTTACATAGTGTGCATTAGCGTAGTCTTTTAATGTAGTATTTCAATTTCAAAATTCAATCCTTATTAGGGATTTTATTGAATTAACATTGTTTCAGGTATTGCTTGGTCTGTCAGGAGTTTTTGTTGTTATACTCTCAGTTCTTGGATCAATTGGATTCTATAGTGCTATTGGAGTGAAGTCTACTTTAATAATAATGGAAGTCATTCCATTTCTTGTGTTAGCCGTAAGTTTGAACTTTATTGATAAATTATGCTTTAAAATGTACTTTTATATTCATAATCTAGATTTCTTGAATATCTGTGGTTCTGTTATATGAAAATAATTGTATTTATTTGTTTTATAAAGAATTTCCATGCAACCTTTATCCTGCATTGTAGAAAACCTGTTTCCAGATTAAAAACTGTGACCTTTGATGCGACAACTGCAAGGCTAATTGTTTTTCCATTTTTTTCTTCTGTGCTTTGCAAATGAGAATTTGACTTTTAACATAACACAATGGAGAAAAAGGATTCATGTAGCCGACCCCACGTAGTGGGACAAAGGCCTGATGTTGTTGTTGTTGATTTGCAAATGAGATTTGAAATTATTCTAGTCTATAATGGGTATTAGATTGCTCCATTGTGATCTAGAAGAATGAGTTGTAGTCATGAAAACAACCTGATGGGGACATCAGATTTCGACACGTGTACCATCGCCGGAGACGCCGATCGACGGCCATGATTCAAAGTCTTTATTTTTGATGTTTTATTCATGTCATTTCTAGTTCATGTTTTCCTTTTGTACCCCTATGAGGGAATTAGTGCTTATTGTGGCCCAAGGGCGTTGTTGTCTTTATGTATTTTATTTTCAGTTAGCCTATATAAGGGCTTTATCATTGTATTTGAGACTATTGCTTAATGAATGAAAAATTTCTTCCTTTGTTCTCTTTGTGAGTGCATGAAAGATCTCTTGGTGAGTTCTTCTAGTGAGATCTCTTAGTGAGTTCTCTAATTTGTTTTCTTTTCTTTTAATCACCCTCTCATTCTCACAAGAAAGCTCCACAAAATTTCCCTTCCCCTCATCCCACCCTAGCCGCCGCCCCCCCTCCTTGGGTTTCCCGCCGCCGGCCACCCTCCCCACCACGGCCGACCACCTCGCCGCTGGCCACCTTTCCTCCCCACGTCCCCTCCCTATGCCGCCCCAACACCTTTCATGAAATTGAATTTTAGAATTCAATTTCTTTCCAAATTGGGAAATTCCAATTTAGGAAAGATTTGAAATTTTGAACTCAATTTCATCCCAAATGAAATTGGATGTATGCTCCTCTCCAACCCGCCGCCCATCTCTCCCACCCATTGGAGATTATCCCGTGGAGACCACCCTTTCTCTTCTTCAAGGATGCATGGAGGAACCCGAGTGGAACTTCGGGTTTGAGTACGACAACCACGGAAGGGTTAACATCCTTAGATCACCGTTCTTCGACGTCGGCTTTGACTTTGACGACACCATCGAAGAATACTTGGATCAGATCCTACCTACACTAGTGGATTCCATCGACGACCACTTTTCCGTCTACACGTGGATCATTAAAGGCCGCTCTCCCGCACCACATCCACATCCGGCGCCTTCCTCTCCTTCCCTACGGATCTACGGCACCGTCGCCCTCGGAGTGGTCCTTTCACTTGTGTGGTTATTCTTCTCCCAACGAACCTAGAAGTAGGAACATGAGCGTGGCCTCAAGGTGAGACGATCGCTTTGTTAACCGCCGGATTCTAGTTGACCATTCATTTTCATTACTTGTTATTGATGTTGTTATTTTATAAATCTTGTAAACTTAGTTGGAGCTACTTGCCTAGACGTTGTTAACTTCTAAGATCTTCTTTGATTCGTTAAATTAGAGAAGCATTGAATTGTATTATCATTACTTTAACAAACCTCTATTAACTTCTAAGAAACAATTCCTGGTTTCACATCATTTGGTATCAGAGCATGGCTAGCATGCTTTGTTTGTGCTAGATGCATCCTAGGATTCTAGTTTACATTGCCATTAGTCAAATACATGCATAACATCTTCTAGGTATTGTTATTCACTGTTTACTTTGCTGCCCAATAATTTTCTGCATACTATTTTCATTGTAATTATTATTATTTACTTCACCTAAGTGTTGTATTTGCCTCTTACCACCTACCCAATCACCTAGGTCACTTTCCACCATAGAAAACCTTGCTGTCCAGTACTTTTCCTGCACTGTTTAGTGACTTTTAGGTGCCCCTTAACCCTTGTTTTATTGCTGTTCACACATTACTACCAACCCACAACACTTTGACAACTTACGCCATCGTGTTAGGTTGCTGTCCCTAGTTTTCCTGCAGCGTATTGAAGCCTTAGGAGCGTCCTACCGTAGTGTTTAGGTGCTGCCCACCACCCAAGCACTTCTCCAATCAACCCATAACCTTCACCCATGGATCCGCAGCACCTCCAAGCTACCCTACACCTCATTCTGGGCCAATTGGGAATTGTCACGCAGCAAATTCGTAACACTCAGACGGACTTAGCAGATTTCAGAAGATTAACCAGTGATCTGTTAGATAAAATAGAGCGTATTGGGAACCCCTCAATCTATACACCTTCAAGACCTCACTCACCCTATGACGAGGAAAACAGAGCAGATCATGGCCACCCTAGAGACCATTACCGCCACAACCCGAGGCCCCATCCTGACCCCATAGGAGATGAAAACTCTGGAAGAGACAATGATGCTCAGTTGTTGAAAAACATTAGAATTGATGCCCCAACATATGATGGAACCCTTGACCCCCAAGTTTTCTTGGATTGGCTTAAATCCATGGATAGTTACTTCAAGTGGTATAACATCTCGGAGGCCAGGAAGGTTAGATTTGCTGAGATGAAGCTCACGGGTCGAGCCAACTTGTATTGGACCAATCTAGAAAATATGCGCGAGGCTCGAGGCGAACACCTTATCACTGATTGGAGAACGATGAAACAAGAGCTTAAGAGAAAGTATCTCCCTCCTTCGTACTATCCTAAGCTCCTTGATAAATGGAATAGATTGGCCCAAGGGAGTAAGCCCGTCAAAGACTATATCTCTGCCTTCGACGATTTCTTGATTCGTTGCAATGGCGAGGAGTCAGCTACCCCAACTTAAATCCTGTCCATGTTTAGAGCTGGCCTTAGGGAAGATCTGCGAACTTAACTTTTTGCTAGAGGAGTAGACTCGTTAGAGGCATCCTGCAGCCTAGTTCTTGACCTTGAAGATTCTAAAACTCATTCCCAAACAAGACACTTTGACTCCCGCTCAAACCCCTATAGAACCTCGTCTGGACAACCCCAAAATCGACCCTCGGGTTCAACTACAAGCCGACCCACTGTTAGTTCGGCCCCACCTCGCACGGACCTCAAAGGTAAGGCCCTCGAGCGAGACGCTTCCAAACCCAATTCTGGAACCAAGTTCTATCGGTGTCATGGGTACGGACACATTGCTTTGCAATGTTCTAGTCCTTACAAAGGCACCATAATTGAAGAAGTGGACGAAGAGGAGAACGAACCTGAGACTGATTTAATTCACCATGTTGATGAGGAGGAAGACTCGTTTACGGAGGAAGAACCCGTTACCCTTCAGGTTGTTAGATGCGCTTTATCTCAACCTAAGTTAAATGATGATTGGCATAGGACTTCTATTTTTCATACCTTTGTTAAGATTGGAGAAAAGAGATGCAAGGTTATTGTCGATAGTGGAAGTTGTATCAATGCAGTCTCTTCAGCTATGGTTTCCAAGCTCAACCTTAAGATGAACCCTCACCCAAATCCGTATAAGGTTGCTTGGATCAACTCGACTACCATAGAAATTAAGGACTGAAGCCTCATTCCCATAGAGTTCGTGGGATATCAAGAGAAGATTTGGTGTGATGTTTTGCCATGGACGTAGGTCAAATTATCCTGGGTCGCCCATGGTTATTTGACAATGACGTTCATATCTATGGGAGAACGAACACCTGCGTGTTCGAACATAACGGAAAGAAGATTAAGTTAATACCCTCTCAACCCAAACCTCCCAAGACGGAAGCCAAGCCTACCCGAGCCAAACAAAGCAAAGGGCTACACCTCTTGACTGCTAAGGAA